TCCACACATGGAGGTCAGCTTGTTTGTGTCTGCAGCTCCTCCTGCTCTGCATCTCTCTCCCCCTCACACTCCCCGTCACCTCCCCCCGCTCTCTTTCTCTCCCTTTTAGTCGCCGATTCTCTGAAACAGTGCTGAGAAGTTTTTTTGGAGCCCTTCAAAGCGTGGAGCTCAAACACACGGCTCTTGTGCTGCCAGAGGGAGAGCGCCTGTGCATGACAACAAGGGGAGGACGAAGGGGCTCGAGCTGGGGGCGAACACTCTACACTCCCATTGCTCATTCAAACACACACAACACACACACACACACACACACAACACGACAACCCACTCACAGCTCTGAACAATAGACACACAGAGATGAGTGACACACAAAGTTACATGTTCAGGAATTCCAGTTGATGGGGAGAACACGGAGGAGAGAGAACATGGTGTTTGAAAGTGTTGTTTTTCTCTGTGCACGGCTGAATGTGAACCCTGTGGAGTCCTCCGAGTGCTTCACTCACAGCTCAGTAAATTAAGACGCCCTGCAGAGCTTTAGAAAAGAGGCGACAGAGACATTTCCAGGCTTAATCTCCGGATTGACACAGATGATCTGATGAAGCATCGTCTTTTACTTTGGGTACAGATTCTCTGAACTTCTCGTTAACTCCATGAACTCATTGTCAGAGTGTGTGTGTGTGTGTGTGTGTTCATAAACGTGTGCGTGTGTGTGCACCTCAGGAATCCATTCACTGCTTTACAACATTGTTCCAGTGTGGCGGTAACCATGGAGACTCCATAACAACTGCTGTCACCCTGTCCCGGTCCCTCACCACGCTAATGTCTCTGCCCAACACACACAGGGACACGCACACACACAAACTAAACACACAAACTTAACATACACACACTTAAACACACACACACAAACTTGAAACACACACACAAACTTAGCACATACACACACACAACCAATGACATGACATCATGACATCAACATAAAACAGCTTTCATTATCTGACATCAATCAGCCAATCAGAGATCCTCCTTCAGCACCAAAAGAATCCAGTGTTAAGTTTGTACGTGTGCGTGTTACGTTTGCGTGTGTATTAAATTTGTGTGTTATAAGTTTGTGTGTGTAGGTGTCTGTGTGCGTGTAAAATGTGTGTGTTCAGTAAGTTTGTGTGTGTGTGTGTGTGTGTTGACTTTGTGTGTTGTGTTGAGTTTTTGTGTGTGTCTGTACATGTTGTGTGTGTGTTGAGTTTGTGTGTGTTGAATTTGTGTGTGTTGAGTTTGTCTGTGTGTTGAGTTTTGTCTGTCTGTCTGTCGTGCGTGCGTGCGTGCGTGCGTGCGTGCGTGCGTGTGTGTGAAGCACCAAAAGAATCTCATGCAGATTTATGAACTGGTTAAATTAATCTTTATAGAGGAAACATAAACAAGTCACACACAGACGAGTTAATTGGTTTCACATCCTCTGGAAAGAAACACAAAAAGCTGACAGCATGGTGTGGTCAGTTCAGGCCCGCAGCGCCCGGTCCGGTCCCACACATGACGGACTGTTACACGCTACCTGACCCATGCTGATGACAACAACACCCTCGCTTCTCTCCGAGGTGTGAAGCAGCTCCTCCCTCCAACATTTTAAACAGAAACAAAAGGAAACAGTCATCCCTCTGACATGCAACATTTAAAAACCTTTGTACAGACATATCCAATAAGACACATGAGAAATCATCTGTGGATATATACATTAACTTACATCTTCAATAGCTCTGTTTGGATATGAACAATATTTACACTTCAGCAGAGGAAGAAGAGCCCGCTTTGTCCCGCCTCTCGGCCCAAAGCCTCGTCTTCGTCTTCTTCTTCGCTCACATTACAGGTTGGTGTCAGTGGTGCGTCTGTTTGGCTTTAAGAGTAATCAGCACATTTAATGCTAAATGACAGATATACACATCAGTGACTCTGTACAGGTCCACATGTTGGAGCAGAGAATCAGAACATGAGGCAGACAGGAAGAGACGCTGATCGCTGGTTCCCCTGATCCTACCAGATGACCCTACACTGTTACGGTTGTTTTGGCATCAAACAGCTATCTTATGACAGTTTATTACTGTTGTTTATAGTTGACAGATATCAACAGTCTGTGATGAGATAACAGGAGACGTGTGAGCGTCTGATGGACTGCACAGAGACAAAGATCCTCACTGACCGTCCTCTGGTCTTATTTTTTGTCCTTCACTCCCTCAGGTTTTTCCCTCAGTACAGCGTCACGTCTCTGGAGAGTGTTCTCCGTCTCTGTGCGTCCAGGAGCTCAGACGATGGATCCCTTGGAGGACGACAGGTGGATGGACTGGATGCGGCCGGCTAACGTTTTCTCAAGGGCGTGCAGGATGTCGCAGCCCGGGCTGTCCGGAGGAGTGTCGTACAGCAGCTGTTTGAACGTCTCCAGCTCGATCAGGATCACCATGTTTTTCAAGAAGTAGCCCTCGATGTATGACGCCAAGTCTGGAGCATCCAGAAACTGTGGGAAACATAACAAACACTTTATTGTTTAACTCTAAAATCGAAATGTCCGCACACTTTTTAAAATAAATAACTGATCAATTTCCTGCTGGAAATGTGTTCTTAAAGCTGTTGTTCGTAATATTTGGTTTGTATTGATTTTGAACGAAGCTGTTCATCTCATATTTACACATGTGAATACGAGATGTCTTCACATGTGTAAATAGTGTTTATTTTTACAAAATTAAGTTCCTCCTGCCTTCTGTTAACTGTCAAATGTGTCACTCACTGTGAAGCTTTGCAGGAAACATGAAAACTTAAGCTGTTTTTATACATGCACTCCTGAAAATTTCAGGAGGACTGCTCCAGAAATCCTCCTGATTTGGGCGTTCACACATACACCTCACAGCAGGAGACTATCCCTGTCAGACAGAAGGGGGGGAGTCTCAGGAGGCAAGACGAGATGTTAAAAAAATGATGTGCAAGGGGTGGACGAAGCAACACTATGATAACATTTCTGACTTTATATCAATGATACATGTAGTTGAACAGAATCTCAATGTGAACTAAAGAGTAGAGAAGAACGTACTGGAGAACAGGAAACATAATGCAGCAGGTTCATCAGAGCACAGAGATCGTAGAGGTGGCGTGCAGACAGTGTATGGTCGTGCAGCGATCACAGGATGTAAACATCACTGCCTGTTTGCTTCTGGGGAATTCACCTGAATACTTCCTGCTGCGTTCTCAGATCAGCCCACCCCAATTTGGAACGTGGAAAATTTACCAGGGGGGCTGGCAGGAGAACAGTTGGAGAGAAAGTAATTGTCCGCGTGCGTTCACACATGCAGCTCATCTTGAAAATTTCAGGAGTTTTGTGCAAGTGTGACAAAACTAAAAGTCTGTTTCTGCAGCGTGCTGTTAATCTCCTCGTCTGACACTCGCACGCTGACGCACACACATGAAAATAACTTAAAGATCTGTCTGCTTGTTCGTATTTTCAGGAATTAAAAAGACAACAATCTTAGGTTGCAATTCATGAATGCCAAAAACCTGCAGTTCCTCGGGTGTCCACTAGAGGCTGTCTGCACAAACCAAAGAATCCCCATTAAGTCTAATTTCATCATGTCGATCATCTGGTGTACTAATTGGGTCTCAATGTCTCATTTCTCTATTTGTAAAAACTGTACCGGGTATAACTCATAAATAAATTAACTAATTTGCATAATTATGGGCGTGACTGAGCTGACTGACAGGTGGGTGCGTTGTAGCTGTTTGTCAGGAGTCTTAAGGCCCGCCTCAGCTCCCCCTCTCTCTTTGTTTTCTAGATTGATCCAAACTCAGGTTGAGTCAACATTTCCAATATGGCGACCGTCATTGTTTGGGCTTCACAACACCTCTTCAGGAACCAATGAATGACATCACTGAGACTACGTCCATTTTTTATACGGTCTATGTCTGTTTCTAAACTCCTCACAGTAGGTTTAAGTCACAGGTGCATTCACTCTGAAATCCTGGGTTGTATTTTTCACCTTGGTGTGGTTGTAGATCTCCACACATGTTTCAGTGTTGATGTTCTTGGAGCAGATGATCTCGCAGTGCCTCTGCAGCGCCTCCAGCTGGAAGAACTTGGCTGCAGACAGGAGCTGGAAACAAACACATTTAATTTGAAGTTGAGGGTCTGGGTTTTATTTTCAGACATCGCCGTGGATCCATCTGTAGCCTGGAGGATCTAAATCGAAGATGGGCTACTTTGGTTAGCGAGAGGGCCACGATCATATTATTTCACCACCAGAGGGCCAAATCTTTAATATGACTTTAGACGATGATTTTTGTCATGTTTCCTTCATTTTTTTTTCTTCTCACAATTTATTGATATTTGAAATTGACTTGAGTATTGAGGGGGGCCGCATGTGGCCCCGGGCTGCCAGTAGCCCACCCCTGATCTAAATGGTCTATGAGGCCTAGTCCACACATAGGAGAGTATTTTTTGAAACAGAGGTTTTCCTCATTCATTCAAAAAATAATTCCGTCCACACACGCTCAGTTCTCAAAAACATCTTTGTCCACATGAAGACGCAAAACGCACGATTACGGCTGTCATGAGCACGCCAAGTAAAGAAACGATGTCCCTGACATGCACATTTTTTTTCCTCATTCCTCTGCAGTGACCATTTTATTTTGTTGTCCCACCAACTGAACATCGGCGGCAGTGTTTGTGAGTGTTGTATCAATAAGCAGTGAGGGGGAGAAACCGGCGCACAGCGTGACGTTACAAGAACAAAACTCTGTTTTCCCCGTCTGCACAGAAACATCTTAAACACAGTTTCTGAACATCTTCACCCTGGAAGGAGTTTTACTAAAGGAGAGTTTTCAGAGACCTAAAACGCAGTTTGTGTACATAAGGTCAAACGCACAGGAGAGCTATGTTTTTAAAATACCCGCCTCAGAGGACTTGGCCTTAGTTAAACGGTTCATTTGAGGTCAAGTGGTACAGTACATGCTACATGCAGCAGGTAGCAGGTTTGCAGAGAGAGCTGTAAACACTGACCTCCATGATATCCGTGTTCCTGATGTGCACAGCGTCAGTCCCTCCAAAGTAGAGATACTGCATCACCAGCTGAGAGGAGACAGACACACTTTACACAGACCTCATACTCACATTAACACACAGAGCGAGTGAATGAACGTGCAGGTCGGGTGTGACTCTCTGAGGGACTCACCTGGAAGATATGATATTTGACATTGCTGATTTCAATGCATGTGTTTTCACCACAAGGTCGGTTTGCTAGAAGAGTTTTGAACCTTGACAGCAAGAAAAACGGACCAGAAAGAGTCAGTGAAGGGAAAGAAATCTTACAAACACACACACAGTTGTAGCACTTAGCACCGAGGAGGAGGAGCTAAATCAATCCTGAGCTACTCCATAGTAAAGTGTGAGCTCTGAAAACAAGCTTTAAGGAGTCGTTCTCTTGTGTTCTGAGGACATTTGATCAACAACAAGTTTGAACGATGTGTCTCTACTTTTGATCTGTGATCGGACTGATGGTTTTCAATAAAGTCACATGAAAGAGAAAATAAAAATAAAGATCTGAGGGGGAAGCAACAGGGACAAATGTTCAACAGCAGATCACAGTATCATCGAAGTAGTGTTTCTCATTATCGTTTTATGTCGACATTGTTTGCAGCTAAACATCCTCTAGAGATGTGAAACATGCAGCAGAGTCCCGCACTACAAACAAAGAGTGTGTCGATCATATCTGTATATGCAGGGTGTAGGTGTGTTTGAGAGCTGATGTGCAGGTGAGAGTACCTGTTGGAGGCAGTGAAGAGCAGGACTTTGTGGGCGTAGAAAGGCTTCCCCTCCACCAGGAAAGTCACGTCCGACATATCTTTGTTGTTCAGGAAGTGAGGATCTGAAAGATGGTGCACAACTTAGTAGTGTTGTAGTCAAGACCACACTGACCGAGAACAAGACACACCTGAGACCAGAGTGCTCCGAGACAGAGACAAGACCAAGACCAAGGCCGGACTAGGCTGAGTCAAGACCATAAAGATAACAGAAACATCATCATCTTGTGTGTAGCGGGTGTTTCACTCACTTAGACTTGCTTATAATAGTTGTAAATACATTGCATTTTTATTTTATTCCTATATATTCCTATTTGATTTGTACTCGTATTCACGCTCTTCTTCTTGTGTTTTACTGCTTCAACACTTGAATTTCCCCACTGGGGATCAACAAAGGATTATCTTATCTTATCTCAGACCGTAACATTGGGAAGGTTGCTGTTTGTGTTTTCTGTCTAATCACGTGGAAAAATAGCCTGTCAATGGTGTTCTTGATTTAAAATCAAGAGTCCGCCCAGTCTGAGACCGAGACCAGACCGTGTAAAAATGCTTTCGATTCCGAATTGCAATCGAGACCTTCAAAAAGTGGTCTTGAGCTCAAGACCGTTTCGAGTACTGCAACACACTACCACATTCCCTGTTGTACTCACGTGTATTTCAGTCTTTGAACACTAGATGGCACTATGTGCACTTTCCATTTCATAGTGATACATTTAGAGGTAAAACAAACCCCAGAAAACAAACATACAAGTATTGATTTAGTGCCACCTTAATGCTGCTTTTGATCTGTTAGATTTCACATTAAAAAGAGTGATAAAGACTCACCCAGACGTGATGCCGGCTTTCTCTTGATCTCGGCCAGTTTGGGGATAGGGTACGGGCCGTAACACTGTGTGAAGATGGCGGACATCTGCTGGCTGATCACCTCATTCTGACAAAAACACAGACAGAGGTAGGTAGCATCAGAGGAGAGAGGGAAGCTGCCTGGGTGGGCAAGCGCTCTGCCAACATCCAGGAGTTCATGTTATGCAAGAACTCGGGCGCTTAAGTGTAACGCTGCTCTCCCACACAAACATCCACAACACAATTATCAGCCCAGCGAGAGGAACGACAACTCCTGCAGCCCTGCTTCAGCCCACTCAGCATTCATTTCATGCAGGTAAATGTTCCCGTACGACACATCTTCATGGCTTTCTCACACCTGTAAATGGGATCAGATGAATTTCAGGCTGAATTCCTACACCCTCGTCGCCTCAGAGAATTCTGTAATAGGAAACAGCGTGACAGGCCGAGCTGGCCGAGTAGGAGTGTGAAAAGGAGAAGACAGGAGAGCGAGAGCTTCTCCTTCCCAACACCAAACTTTCATCTCATCTATTTGTGGTGTTTAAACCATGGGGGGTGGGGTTCTTCCGCAGCAGGGGGGGAACAACAACTTCTTACACAGGAACAGATATGCATGTCTGTGACTTTAGCAAACACAATATGTGGATGTTTAAGACAGAAAAAGAAACGTTATGGTAACGGTTCAGCGGACGGTTCTGGATTTGAACCCTCCGTCTGATGCCTTTTCCTGCACGTGTTTCTCCAGGTACTCTGCTTCCTCCCCCAGTCACAGTTAGATTCATTCATATTTATTAGTGTCCTGTGGGTGTGAATCTGAGTGTGATGATTTCTCTGTGTCTATGTGACGGCCGTGTGATTGACAGGTGTACTGTACCCGCCTCTCGCCCAATCAAACCTCACCCAGCCCTCTAAAGAAAGCAGTACAGGTAATCTATGTTTTGGACTGATGTAAACTGAGCTAAATATCTTTTATTACTCTGATTCACTCTCATTTTCATGTTTTTACTCAGTCTTTTATGAATTTACTTCTCTGCCTAACATCAGTAAATACATATGGTTGTAAACATAATTTTGCTCTTATGTGAATTAAGAGCCTTTCTGATAGGACACGGTGTGCTGCTCTCAAAGCCATTTATTGTCTTTGCGTTGCGCAGTGCAAGAGCGCAAGGTAACGCTTGCTGTTCTGCACTGAAGCTAAAAAAAACCTGTGTCGTCACCTCTGCGTGTCCAATCGGAGGGAAGATCATATCACAACAAACAGCGTCTTACTTTCCTCAGCTCCACAGGGACATCAGAGAGAAATCTGTAGTTTGTACAGACATGTCGGACAGTTTGGGTGACGATGTGTGTTTTGAACAGCAGCAGAAATGTGAGTCGTGCTAGTGAAGCGGTCGTTATCGAGCAGCAGCTCCTGGACCAGCCTGAACTCCCCCACACCCCGTCATGTCCTGAGGATTTCATGAACACACACCCTCTCCATCTGTGCTCCTCTTCTCCTCCTCCTCGGCAGAAGAAAGGTCAGGGCTTCCTTCTGAAGTGTGGACAGATACAAACTTACTGTGCATCCAAAAAGTAGCTATTGTTGGCTGTTGTGGACTATTGTTTCAGTCACCTAGCAATGTGCGCCGTTGCATTTTGCTCCCCTCCTGCCCTGCGTCCTACTCCGCAATGAGCGCTGCTATCTGAAAGGCCCTTTAGTCAAAAAAGTCAGAAATAAAAGATACAGCGTGTTGGGGCAGCAGATAAAAGATGGAGGACTCCTGCTTTGATGTCCGTGGTCATCATGGTGGAGCTCTGCCAGGGGACCTTGAGGGTCAGTGAACCCACCGTACATCAGCAGAGACAGACACACACACACTGCAGTGTAACACTGAAGTCTGGGAGTGCTGTGTGTGTGTGTGTGGGAGGGAAATACTGATTGATCCTGCATGTGAGTGTCTGCACGTCTGCTAATGTGTTTATTTATATGTACTCTACAGCCACACGGTTAGGGCAGCCCTAATCCAGGCCAAAGTGCCCACAACACAAACAGTGCCGCTCGACGGGAGAGTGAGCTGTTTCAAACCTAACAAGGGCGCACAGAGGGGATCATAATCTTTAGTAATGAGAGCGGGACCTGATGTAACGAGCAGCAACACGAAGGAGCAGAGGGCCTGTCATAAATCATTATCATTTAGAGAAACGGATATTGAGTGGGCCTTTGGCACTGTCAGTCTCTGTAGACTTCTTACCAACGCAGCACACTAACACGAGAGCAGACGAGAAGCATGAAGATGTAAACATGTGGAAGATGGAGATTAAATTAAGTTCAGGAGGATGTTTTTAGATTAGGACTGTATTGCATAAGAGAGAAGTGTTAAAAAGCCAGGTGTTTATATTTCCTGTGGAACATCTGTAATGATAGGGATCGAAAACACTCAACACATTTCAAGAAAGTTGTTTTAATAAACTCAATCTTAGGAAGATAAGATAAGATATGATAGGGTACGATAAGATAACAGATGGGACTGATCTGCTCTTAAATCGGTATCGGGTCCGATATTTAAATAATTTACATATCGGATATCGGACTGACGACGCCGATCCACGTCACTGATGAAGAAAGATGGTTGGTCGCTTTAAACATCCTCAGCTCGTACAGTCTCTCTCTAAAGTAAGACTGTAAGAAGTGTTTACAAATTGTCTCCATGATGACGTTCAGACGAGATGGAACAGCTCCTTCTTTGTGATGAGAAGTTCAATTCTTACACTTCAGTTTGAAAGATTTAATTTGAAAACCCTGACAGCTGCTGCTGCTTCCTGTTTGTATGTGACGCCAGCACAAGTCAATACAATGTGAGGACAGGATACCATACCATACCATACAAAAAGATACGATAGGAAAGTATAGGATACAATCAGATACAACAGGATACGATGAGTTTGGATAAAATAAGATACGATAAGATAAGTTAGGACAGTGGTTCCCAAAGTGGGGGTCCGGATCCCCTGGGGGATCGCAGAACACTGTCAGGGGGGTCGCGAGATTCCTTCCAAAAACATATTAAAATGTTAAAATGGTTTAAAATTGGATACTTCGCCCATTTGAAAATACATTATGTAAAAAAAGTAGTTTCTTACAATAAATTACAAAAATAATATGATGGTGTTAGGGCTATTGTTTGCTGTTCTAATGCCAGTGTTTGGAGTGACCTAGTGCGTCAAATGTGGGGTATCTATCACCGTTATATTGGGGGTCGCAAGCTGAAAAGTTTGGGATAAGATAAGATAAGATAAGATAGGATAGGATATGATCTGATAGAAAAGAAAGTACCTTGCTGGCTCTGAGGATCTGGAACATGAGGGGCAGGCCATGTGTGATGAGCTCCTCGGTGTACTCCTCCTCCTCGATGCAGCTGAACTCTTTGAGCAGACCCTGGATCAGAGGTCGCCGGTGCTGACTGAAACACGTCCGCAGAGACTCCAACCAGGTGTGCAGAGTCCACGGCACACCTGAGACGTAAAGACAGAGGTAAGCACATAAGAAACACATCCAATCAACGCACGTTCAAACTGTCAAGGTTTAAAGAATCAATGCTGCATGCAGAAAACTCATGCTGGTGTTTCAGAGAGTTAGCAGATACGGACCGAGGCTGCGTATGTCGATGGTGATGTCTACGTGCCCGTGTTCTGAGCTGTGGTACATGGCTTCTTTCAGCGCTTTGAGCTTGGCCTTCCCGGCGCGGATCAGATCGATCTGAGACGAGCTCCTTCCTTCCAGCTCCGATCCCTCGGCCAAAATCTCCTCCAGCGATAAAACATCCCCTTTCCCCTTCTCTGTGTGGGACAGCAGCTTACGGAACACGTTTCTGAAAAAAAAAAAAAAAAAAAAACACAAGCACTTCATTTGATTTGTCTGCACGGATCCTGACTCTGCTTTATTGCTTTTTATTGTTTGAGTTTCTCCTCCTGTCCAATAACACCACAGGTGGGAGCAGGTGTGTGTGTGTGTTATGAGCTACAGTTCTGTGTTTGTTTTCAGTGATGTCTCTGAGTCATAGTCATTACTAGTAGAGCACGACTATCTGAAATTAACTGTCTCACTGCTTTAATTGTTTTGTTTTTTTCTGCATAAAGCTAAGTTTTAATGAACAATAATGTCAGATGAAATGTTCACTGCCTGCCACAAAAAACATCCTGAGGGCAAAAACATTTATTTTTATGCAAATGTAAACTTGTCTGTCTTTAAGAGGCTGCAGGCGGAGAGTGGTGGATTTATAGGAAGGCTGTTGTGTTATCTTCGGGTTAAACAAGTTTAAATGCAAAGACGAGAACAGGAGCTGTCATTATATTCACTTAAGCGTTTGCAGTTTTCATGCACAGAAACATGTAATTTAAAGTGGCATTAAAATGATGAAGGCATTCATTATGAGATGAAAAGTGTGTTATTGATTCTGAAGTGCAAGTGCTGGAAAACAGCTGTCCCTGTAGAGCGACTCTTATAAGGTCCATCCATTAGTTCATCCATTTTATTATCCGAGGTCGGGTCACAGCAGGCAAAGTAAAACAACCCAGACTTCCCTCTCCCCTACAACATTTTCCAGCTCCTCCTGGGGGATTCTCTGAATTCTTGGCCTACCCTAGGGTCACCTCCCAGTTGGGCGTGCCCGGAAAAACCTCCAAAAAGGGAGGCGTCCAGGAGGATCCTGATCAGATGCCTGAACCACCTCAACTGGCTCCTTTCGATGTGAAGGAGCAGCGGCTCTACTCCGAGCTCCCCCTGAATGTCTGAGCTCCCCCCCCCCTCTCTCTAAGGCTGAGTGCAGACGACCTCCAGAGGAAACTCATTTTGGCCGCTTATATCTTATATCTTTGATCTTATTCTTTTGGTCACTATCTAAAGCTCATGACCACAGGTGAGGGTTGGAACGTAGATCGACCTTTGCCTTCAGACTCCTTCAGCTTCCTCTCCACCACGATGGTCCTGCACTACGCTCGCATTACCGCCGACTCTGAGCCAGTCCACCTGTCGATCTCATGGCCCATCTTCCCCTCACCCGTGAACAAGACCCCGACTCTCATAATGTTTTGTTCAGAAAACTCACCGCTGCTGTCATCACTTTCAGCCGTCAGGAAGATGCCAAATCTATATTTAATGTGCTTGCTCATAATTTTCTAGAACTAGCTGTTCTAAGCCTCACACTGTAACATCTCAAACACACTCAGGTATGAGAACAAACGTCTGATCTGATGACACAAACTGACTCATCAGACGCAGGGTTGATTTCACAGATGAGCTCTGCTGAATTTTGTTTTTTGCAAAAACAAAAACTAAGCACACTGAATGAACAGAGTGTGTATCTTCTGTGTTCTCTCGGGTGAACAGGAATCTGTGCGAGTGTGTTTTCTTACCTGTGTCCGTGAGCTGCTGCCAGGCTGTACGAGTTCATGTCTCCCTGCGGAGCGGTGGAGATGCCGTTGCGGTACATGGTTCCCACCATGGGGTCGGCCCCCCGCTCCAGCAGCAGACTCACCAGCTCAAAGTTACCTGTGCATGAAAAGCAGAGCCTTTACACCCACACAGACAGCAGAGACGAGGGCGTGCCAAACATCAGATCATTATTCTGCCTGCATGCCTCCCGCCGACTCTCAGCTGCCATTATCAGCTGCTTATAGACAGCCAGATGCTGCTGTCAGCGTGCCTCAGTACAGAGCGACAGGAGGAGGAAGGCGGAGTCATGCTGTTCCTCTGTACCTGCAGCCGCAGCCAGCTGCAGCGGGGTCTCTGTGTAGTTCTCCATCCCATCCTGCAGGGAGCCCTCCACGTTGGCTTTGGCGTCCAGCAGCAGCTGCAGGAGGGAGGATGAGAGCGAGAGAGAGAGGAAAGTGGAGACGGTGGAGCGAGATGGATGAGGAGAAGTTGAGGAGTCAGATTAGATTGATGATCAGCTCCCTTTATCAACAGATTGTTCATATGCAACGACTCAGTGTAAGGAATAAAAGCTACGAAACATTTACTGCTTGTTTACAACATGCCTTTTATTAAATCATAAAAAACACTAAATGACCAAATATTCGCTGCCTAGGACTTTTTTGTTGCCATGGTATCAAAACAGGTACCCATATCATTTTCTTAAACAAGAGTTAGGATGCTGTAATGGTGACAGCACTATTTAATCAGAATGTATTGATTTAAAATCCTTTGAAAGGACAAACTGAAGCAGTTAAATCAGGTCGGAAACAATCGAGCCATGTGTTTCCACTTTCCACTCATTAAATGACTTTTCAATCTTTAGTAAAGATTAACAGACGGCCATGTTTTAAAGCTGTCTACTCTTCAATATTGACTCAGTAAATGAACTCTTTACAGATTAAACCATTTAACATAAAGAAAAGTAGAAACAGAGGGAGACAGGAGAAAACTGTTGGTGGAGAAACATCATCGTCACCACCACCACGAGGAGCGCTGATGACAGAAATGACAATGACGACCAACCATGAGCTGAAGCACAATGACAGGTCAGGGTGAGAGAGGACGTCACTACCTGCACCACGGGCACATGTCCGTGTAACACAGCGAAAGTGAGGGGCGTCGCCTGCCGCGTTTCGGGAAACACTGAGGGGTGCTTGTGCACTGAGTTTGGCACCTGGGGAGGGGACACAGGTGGGTGGGGTCGGGTGAGGGAGGAGGGGAGAGAGACATGAAGCCATTAACACGACCACACGGAGCACAAGAGCAGCAGCTGCAGAGGGGAGAGAGAGGAGAGAGAGAGAGAGGAGGCTCTACGGAGAGAGAGGAGTGATTAACAGGAATCCCGGGGCTGCAGAGGTCACGCTCTCACTCTGTTTGTTTTCTAATGAACACCATAGATAGATCCGGTTTCCCCCTCACAGGACTCAAACCTCTGTGCAGCTCGTCTCTCTGCTCAGCCTGCAGACAAACTATGAGCTGAGTGACACATGAGACAGAGACATGATGATCAAAGCACAAAGATCCAGGGACTGAGTCCACTACTAATAAATACATGGGCAAAAGAGCAGACCCAAGAACGCAGCTATCATGAAAAGGGCTGAACTAACACAAACATTACAGAGTCAGAACTTATATGAGTAACTAAGAGATACTAAGATGTAGGCTCTGACTCCAAACAGCTGATCCTTTTAAACCCTGATGAGCTTCTCTGGTTACACATTTTATTTTAATGTGATATGCATGATGCTAATTCATTAGTCCAAGGGTTACCAAACATCACTCATGAGCCCCAAAATAAAGGTGACCAGAGACCCCCACTCTCCCTGGAGATGGTTAAAGCACATGGTACTAAAAGGCCTTAAACACTGGTGACACAGAAGATAAAAACAAAACAATACAACAGCCTGAAAACCTTAAAATTATTTTGTAGAGCAATTAAATGTAAGATAGACTAGAAGCAACAAGTAATCCCATGTCCCAGTGACTATCGGTATCGGCTAGATTTATCTCTGATATTATTCACCAGTCAAATAGCATTTCATTTGAGTTGCATTGTATTACACAGGCAGTTCTCTTTCACCAGCAGAGGGCGCTGTATGGATTACAACAAGCATTATCAATCTCCAGAGTGTCGAGCGGTGATGCACGTACATGCTCAGTTACTTCCCATCTTGTCTTCGTTATAAATCTTTCCTAAAAGTGTTTGATAACTGTATTTGAGGGATTAACACAATAAATGTGCATATCTATCTATCTATTTCTACAGATCTAAGAGAGATCTGAGAAAGATATCTGCCAATATATCAGTATCGGCCCCTAAAATCAGTCGGGCCTAAACAAAACGTAATAAAAGGCAAACAGGTGTGTTCATCTTTCTGTGCAAAGAGCAGCAGACACTACTTTGTTGCTGTCATGTGCAAACTCACAGTTTGAGGATTTTACACATTCATTTAATTTAAGATCTCACTCCAGGACTAAAGTCTCTTCCAAATGGTTGCACTTTTTGTTTATATTTTGACATGGGTAAAAGAGGTTAAATATGCAATTAAAAATCACCATCCCCTCTGGGTGTCTCGCGATCGCCCTAGGCGCCCCGACCCCCACTTTGGGGACCACTGCATTAGTCCACATCTTAGACGCATGTGGTTTTTCCTCTTTCCAGTGCAAAATTTAAACAAGGCTTATCGCCTAATAGACTTATTCTAGGCTCTGCGGGAATCGTTGTACCTGAGAGATGTAAGCATAAAGTTCCTGAACATGTGTATCGACATCTCGGGCAGAGCTGGGAGAATTCAGCTCTCATTCTACTCACTCCTTCATGAGTGTGCAGTTTAGTCTTTGGATGATAGTCTTGTGTTTATTTGAAGGTTTTCTGGAACTCGTAAATTCGCCTGCTACATCTTTACAAGGACATGAGATCTACTGTTTCCGACGGTCATCCACCTGTAGCAGCTTTATTCATCGAGGCAAACTGGGGGCAAAGTTATAGCAATGATTTTAGCAGACAGACAGAGCTTTGTGCTTTGATCATACACCATGGATGCATGGACTTGGACACTGTGGCTGATGGGACATGTAGTTTTTCAGTGAGGATCACGAGGCTTTAACTGAACCAGTCTTCTCTGAAAGTCTGCACACAGTCAGAGGACGATGTCTGCATTCTTTGAAGACTCTGTGAAGATTCAGTTTGCTTTAAATCAGCCAATCTTGATCACTTTTTGTTTCCTCTGACGGAATGATTTGTTTTTTTTTTACAACATATTTAACTTTATCTGTTCGTCTGCAGTGACGTTATCTCTGTGAGCGCCTCGTGATCCTTAGCTCGTTTAGCACATTAACGTGACACGAGGCGGAGATGAAGGATGACATGTTTTCTCCTATTTAATACAACAGAGCATGAACTATCACCTTCAGACGCCTCTCATATAAAACTGAACATATGGAGGTTTTTACGCTCCCGTCACTTCCTCTCTCCTGTCTTGGGACTCTCCTCCTCAAATCAAAGAATACTCATCATGTCTCATCCCTTAATGTCACTTTAGAAAGATGTAATGGATCACTTTAATGTTTAAAACAATATTTCTGTTTATCTGAGAAGGTCAGTCTGAACATGTAAAAAATAATATTTCATTTGTTTGACTTTGATTCACTCAAAGCATCACATCCTCACTCACCTCGCTGTTGATATCCGCTCCTGCATCCAGCAACATCTGCACCATGGCCTCGTCTCCACGGACACACGCGTACATCAGCGGGGTCATCCCCTACACACACACACACGCATACACACACACACACACACACACACACACACACATTAAACAAATCACATCTTCCAGGAGATGAAGATACACTCTCATAGTGTTTTCACACTTGCACAAAACTCCGTCATGGGAGGATTTTGGCTGCACTTTTCTAAAACAGGAACGTTTTGTTTTTAGATTAACTTGTTTTTCTGATAAGGAAAGTTTGACAGAGTGAGGCTGAAGTTTTGCTCCACTCTCAATTTGTGTCCTTGACAGTTCCCGTCTCGGCACCTTGAGGCTGATGAGAATATTATTGCGTTATTGATCGGATACCAAATGAATCGATACCTCCTCTGGGACGTCAGCGGACCGAGTCTGACAGAAACACACAGAATCAGACTCTCCAAAAGTTTCTGCTCAGATCAGCCTGAGCTATAGGTGGATGAAAAATGATGAGTTACACTTGCGGTATTCCCCTGATGCCGTGCTGTACTGTAGGTGTGAGCTGTGATATAAGCAGAGCACCTTCAGCTGAGAGCTGCAGGAGGAATATACAGCAGAATAAGCTTTGATATTCATGACTCTGTGCTTACAGTCTGGTCAGTGCTCAAAGGTGAAGGAGCGCTTTACTGAGCAAAGAAAATGTTATGTGTGTGTGTGTTTGTGTTTGAGGCTTTAAATGCATTATTGAGCGTGATGACTGTGCCTCTAACCTGCTCGCTCATGCTGTTGATGCCATCAGGCCCCAGCAGGTTCACAGCCTGCTTCACCAGGTCCGTGCGTCCACAGCTGAGCATGCGGAAGCCCAGATCCTGCAGGAACTTTGCTTCGGTCGAGGCAGCATCCAGTTTCCTTGAGGCACAGAAGCAGTCATCCGTTCTGAAGGGCAAAGCACACGAAGTGTTTCAGAATACATGCAGACTGTATTTACTGTATGCAGTGTGCCACCGTTTACCTCACAAGCTTTATCTGTTTCTACAAGAAGGATGGGTGCAGTTAATATCTTCTCTTTATGTGTGACTTTGTCTATGCCTTCACGTGTGTACTCTGTGTTGTGTTTGATGTGCAGATGAAGAGGCTGGTTGCACACACGCTCTGATCACGGCTCACAGACGTACCGGAGCTGACGAGGTTCACAGTCCACTCCGGGCAGCAGCAGCCTGGCAGCCTGCCGGACGTCGTCGCTGTCCACAGAGAAGCTGCGTCTGTGCTCTGTGTGGACCACAGCCACTCGCACCCACTCCATCAGAGGCGGCAGCACCATGAACGGCCTGCAGGGGGAGATAGAAACA